CTTGCATGTTTAGTTTCTCTTGTTGCTAAATTGATTCCACTGTTAATTGAACACTAAAGGTTCTATTAGCACTATTGGGCTTTAGTTCTTTAAATTTACAACATATTGTATTTCAAAGGAACCCGGATGTTATGACTTATCAAGATATCTAAAATTGAAGCATATGAATAACTTTAGACATTATTGTTCATTATCTTGAAAGCACTTTCTTCAAGTTAGAAATACCTATCCTGCCATTAAAATATTAAAAGAAGTTTTTCCCTGACATGTTTTTCCCTTCATCCTCATAGTGGGAAGATGATATGTTCATGAAAATTTGAGTATTCAAACTATATACTCAGATATATGATCTCTGAAGTCATGTGGATTCTATTAGATAGTTAAGATGGTTGGTTGTCTTCTGATCCCAGAGTCAACTCTATATCCAGCTTAAATTGCTATAATCATATCCTGCACACCTTGTGGTGATTTTTGTTTTACCTATACCTCTTTTATTATGCTGGTCACTTGCTTTATAAAAGTCAGATGACTTTTTCTAGAAAATATTAATGCTAAAAGTTCTATAACAGACATATTCTAATAATATAGAAATCTGTACAACGCCTGCTAAGCAAAGTTATGATTCTAGACTTTGTAAAGTCTGAGAAGAATCTTGATGATCCTTTGACTAAAGGTCTATCCAAGAGTGTGGTTCTGAATTCATCGAGGGAGATGAGGTTAATCCCATAAGTGAGGTCACTGACAGTGGTAACCCAACCTTTATTTGGAGACTTAGTCCCAATGTAGTTTCAATATGGTAGAAACAAGCTGGACTAGTAATACTCGTGTGGAACATCGACCTAGATATATTCATATATCATTATGTAGCATCTGCTACTACCCCTTCTCTATGGTGATGATGCTCTTATGATACAGGTGGTTAGGTTGAGTTTTACTCTTAATAAGTTCAACGCGTGTATTGCGGAGGGTATGATATCCAGCTGTAGTATCCTTGGAGGACTTACCTACGTGAGAAGAACCATGATGGCCGCGTTGGGGGGCTGGGCTAATCCCTAGAAACTCTCATGAGTCGGTTTTATTGTGAGCATGGCATTTAACGCTCAATCCGTTTTGCTCAACAGATGAAGACGTATTGTATATGTTTTCGTCAATATCTGGTATAAGGGGCCATTATGTCCCTCAGGTGGCGATGAACTCACTAAGGAAAGGTTCAAAGTCGAAAACTATCTCTCCCGAATTCACGATACAAAATGTTGCCCAACCTATATTTGTTTTGTGATTTATTGATTGATTTTTATGTTTTTAGTCAAATATTACCTTTTAGGGGGGACTGTTGGATATTTTGTTGGAGAAAGAGCAATTTTGCCTTTATGAATAGTCCTACATTGGAAAATTAAATGAATAGTTGGTTGTTTAAATTGCATCTCCTCTTATTGGGCTTTGAATAGTGTTTCGGGTTTAGTATTATTTGGGCTTTGCATATCACACACGTGCGAGCGCACGCCACGTCTCGCCCCGCCGCACTGCACACGTTCTTTTTATTTCCTCAGACTTTATTTTACCACATTTTACATGTTTTTGCATGCGTAGCGGCTTTACAATTATGATGAACGTTACAAAAATAATGACAAACGTTACCGAATTTATTGAGGGGTTTGTAACGGCTATCTAAAAGCCTATATATACAACATTTCTCTTATTCGAAAATATAGAGCAATTCTCTTGTTTCTCTTCTCTCATCTGCTTATTATTTTCTTCTATATTGTGGTTTTACATTTGGGCAACTTTTTTCATCTGAGCAGAAGCTCTGTTTTCTCGCCCAAGAATAGAGGCCGACCAAATTCCGGGGGTTTTTACCGCTAGGGGAGAGAGGACCATCTGCGCCAGGGCGATAGACGAGTCTTCAAACTTCTAGGATAGTGATTACACGACTGCTCCCGTTCAGACCAGATTTTATTATTTTATTTTATTCAGATTTATTTACATGCTATAATTTTATGCGATATTTTTCAACAGAAAGTACAAGAGGCTAAATAGCTAGTGACACCCTTCACTTTTCGTTTACTTTCCAATCACTTTCTAAGTGCCAAGTGTGGAAGAAATAGAAAGTGAAATTTCATTTACTTTCTGGTTGCCAAACATGCAAGTTCGATCCATAAGTTCCACTATAAAAAAGACAAGGAAATAGATAGAACGTTTACCCAACACATACTCAAAACTAAGTTAGCAGAAAATAAAATAAAATTAAAAATAAACATATTCAAGAAAATCAATAAGGGGCTGTTTGGAAAGAGGTTTTTTAGGGGGAAAGGGCTAGAAAGCCTGTCAAAAGCCTGCCAAAAGTGCAGCTTTTGGCAGGCTTTCCAGCCAAATCGCCTCTTTTAGAGGTGATTTGGGTGGAAAGCCTGCCAAAAGCTGCACTTTTGGCAGGCTTTCCCACTACCCAAATCGCAAACAAACAGCCCCTAAGTGACGAGTATTACTTGTCAAGCAAAACTTGAAAATGTTAGTTGTTACCGTAATAATCTTTTGATGAGTAATGTTGGCACATATGAATTTTGATTCTCCTGCCTCAAACACAAATCTATGCTAAATTCTTCTAAAGATTCTCTCTATTCAAAGGCTGAAACGTACTACCTACTGTACGTAAACCTATCCAATCTTTCTCTGCTCAGTTTAAACTTTAGCCTGTCAAATGAAGGACCGTTAGCAGGTATATGAACCTCAAGTAGATCCGTGGGCACATGTGAACCATTGTCATAAGTGCTCTCATGCGTCCCCATCTAAATAAATTATTAAAAAAATATACTTCATTAGCAACAATCTAATGACTAATCAAGTTACTAAGGCTAAAAGGCCAATTTGACCCTGTACAAGGGGTTCATACTCAAATTAGTCCATATACTTTCTTTTTTCTCAAGTGAGTCCACATACACCATGTTTAATGTAAACTTTGTTCTATTTTAACTCTCCACTTAAAAAACCCGTTGAATAAAATATAAACTTCATTAGCAACAGTCTAATAACTAATCAAATCACTAAGGAATCCTTATTATCCAATTGCATGTACCATATCCTACTGGATGATGGAATTAGCGTCTATGCAACTTAGATTACTAGTGGGGGGATATATATATATTGTACATTTGCGCTGTGCATAATTTCTTTTAGATAGTCTCTATGTCCATATATATTGTACATTTGCGCTGTACACAATTTCTTTTAGATGAGTTTCTAGATATGATTGTAACATCTAAGTTATTTTGTGGTCGAATTAGATTTTCTTTTGTTCTATAATTGTTTCTGATAATGTGTAGTCTCCTTTTAACTGGTTTTAATTCAAACCTACAATAATTTGTTAAAAATGAGTTGTTCTAAGTAAAATTATAGGTATCACAACTTCACATCATTAAGGGTGGTACAGTCACTAGAGAAAAATTAACGCTAGACAGTTAACGGATGTTAAACACTGACTTAGGCACTGTTTGGCAACCAAAAAAAGTGTCTTATCTAAGAGCTTGTGTCTTATTGACTTGGTCAATAAGCTAGTAGAGCTGTTTGGTGACCAAAAATAGGAGGAGATTATTTTAGAGATTGTGTCTTTTGCAAGTAGCTTTTGAAAAGCTACCTCAAGTAGCGTTTGTCTTTGGGAAGGAGCTGCAAATTTTTGTCTTCCGTTTTTTCCCCTAATAATTCTAATTTTATATCAATAATATTGCATGTCTTTTTTAGTCATTTAACAAACTTAAGCTAGTTGTACAGCTACTTTTGCCAAACAGCTCTAGTCAATCAGCTAGCTACACAGCTAACAGCTTTCAGTTACAATTTCACAGCTTTCAGCTAGCTTAACAGCTTTCAGCTATAATCTCGCAGCTTTCAGCTAGTTTTGCCAAACAGAGCGTTAGTTTATAATTGAAATCTGGTACATAAATTAAATTGAGAGAAAATAAAATAGAGGGACCAATTTGAATATAAAGGTCTAATAATACAAGGAGTAAACCGGCTTTTTAGCCAGTTACTAACTATAGTCATTAGCAACGAGACATTCCCCTCGTTCGTACATCCAATGCTTCCGTGGACACCCGCTTCAAAATCGAACCCCGCTGTGCCTGTCTCGCGCCCCCATTGCGTTTCCCTCGCAACCGCTGCGTGGTTCCCGTCACCGCCCAAAGCCAGCCGTCCGATCTCTTTCTGGTCCATCCTTCCACAGTCAAAAAGACATCCCCACCGTTCACGAGAACCTCCTACTCGAACGCCCTGCGCCCTTTTCCCAACATTCCTCGTCTTCCCAGACCACCGGTAACAATTAGGACCCCATGCTCCTACCTGTCCCTCACGGGCCTCTCGCCCCTTGCACGCTATCAGAATCTTCCGTAGAAAGGAGTCACCCGTAAATAACAGCTAGATCCGTGGGCAGCTACGTCATTCGACATCTAGGTGTTAGGCCCGTTACCGTGCCACCAACCAGTACGGTTGGGTCTGAACCCCAACCACTTTCTCAGTGTCTCATCCTCTCCTCCCCCAAACCGAGGTACCCCCGTAATCTCCGACACGCTTCTCAAGTTATTTACGCTCCTGCCACCGGATCCGTACCCCGCTTTCGACGCCGAGATCCTCCCGCTGTCCGTAATAATCATCTCCGACCGCAGGTACAGCAGATCCGAAGGCTTCAGATCGCTCCATCTCTCCTCCCGACCTCCGTCACCGCCCGACACAATAATCCGTGACTGTGAAAACGCGCCGTTCAAACCTTCCTTTCAACGGCGACGACTGCCGTTAACGAACAGACCATCACATTTCTCACTCTCTCGAAGCACCAACACTGCCAACGCGGTCCGGTCAGCCGCATTCGACAGGTCGAACCGTCTGGCCACGTGGGATGGATTCGTGGCGCGTTCTCGCGACCGCGCGACGAGTGGCGCGGAGACCCGAAGATCCTCCGCACGGAAAGCAACGGCTGGTTCGGCCGCGGCGGTTACGATCACCCGGCGCTTTTGCGCTCAACCCTTTTTGCTTTCCGCCGCCGGATCGGGATCCGGCTTCGGGTCGAAGACGAGGAGAACGTCTTCGGGCTGGACCCTGACCCGGCAGAGGGGGCACGTGGCATGCGCTTCCAGCCACGTGTCGATGCACTCGACGTGGAACCCGTGCTTGCATTTGGGAAGGAGGCGGAGCACCTCGGCCGGTTCGAAGCGGTTCAAGCAAACGGCGCACTCTAAACCCTCTTTGTGACCCGTTAAGGATCCGAATCGAAATACGGGGAGGGAGTTGACTATCGAGCGGTTGACACCCGAGTTGCGGTGCTCCGCGGTGAATGATTGGGCGGCGTTACCTCTGCCGTAGGTGGTGTCGACGTCGCGCTTGCAGTGCTTAGCGTAGAGGAGGAGGAGGAAAGTGAGGGAGAACATTGTGGTTAGGACTCCGATGATGACGGCGATGCTTGGGCGGAAGGAGGCGGTGGGCGGTGAAGGGAACGGGGAGGGGGCGTGGCCCTCCGCCAGGAGAAGGCGAGGGAGGCTAGAGAAGGGGGAGGACATTTTTGGTTTGGGTGTTGGGAGTTTAGTTCAGGGTGAGAGGTTGAGGGGGAGTGACGGGGGATTTGTAAGCTAGGCGTTTGATGAAATGACAAGGAGAAAGAGACGGGGGCATTGCGCTTTGAGGAAACGGGGAAATGGGGGAGGAACCGGGTTGAGCATTTTGATTTGTTTTGTTTTGTTTTGAGTTGTTGAAATTATGAGGGAGCGAGGGAGAGGGAGAGGGGGAGGGGAGAATTTACCTGAATACCCTTCTCAGCCTGATGGGATTTATAGGTGTTAATAAAGTTAGTACTCTATGATTTGTCGAAGGCCAAAAATGTGAAAAGGTCAAGATAACCCTTCCGGAGTTAAATGAGTTAAACCCTCCGGGGTTTTAATACTTTTATTTAGGCAGATTAAAAGATGGAAAATGATAGGGGCACATTTCCAACCATATTATCTCTTTTGCTATAGTACAATGAGACCCGCGTGAGATTTTAAAATAAAATCTCATGTGGGTCCAGTACACTGCAGCAAAAGAGGGGGTGTGGTTGGAGGTGTGGTTGGGGGTGTGCCCCTAGTGCCTCTCTTGAATGATAAAGAAAGTAACTATAATTTTATTATTATTATTAAATATTAAAAATTAACAAGTTAACAATTTAATTCTTTTGATTAATAAATAAACTAAGTCGATTAACTCTTCTTCTTAATACTTAATTCTTTTTTTGAGAAGCTATATCTAAGGTTTTATTCATGAAAGGTTGAAAATGAATCCAATAGAATTGAACATGAGGCATTAGGACTTTGAGATTTGGATTCCAAAATCAAATTTTCTTCTCTAGTTTTCCTTTAATCAGGCATATAACACAAGTTATATGAGGTCAAATTTTCAAAACACATCAGATAAAAATTAAGAAAATGTTAATATTGATATCTGATTCATTTAGTGTAAATTATTTGATTTTTCTTAAATGATCTTCTGCTATAAATCTGAAGGAATAAGTTGATGGATTATAATCAAAACTTTTTGATAATTATTTGATGAATTCCACCCCTATTCCCCATTTATCATTCCTCAATATGAAAATGGGGGGAAAACATGTATCATGGTTTTTGGATGAAGTTATGTATGAGTTACTATATATGTATATTTCTTATTTCAATGTCTATCAGATTTTCAAAAAAGAGTAGTGATAACTAAACTATTCCATTTACACTATTTCTACACTACAAGAGACAAAGTGTTAGGTCTAATATTTTTGAATTTTTTTTTCGATATTGATGACTCGTCAATGGAGCGTACACATTCTCTCTTGTAGTGTAGGAATAGTATAGAAAAGTATGGTGTGATTATCATTATTCTCTGAGAAAAATATAACGACCTTTCAAATTTCAAGTTGGACCGGGTGGATTTTGGTTAACTAACCCGATCCAATTAACACTCCCTAACAGGGGGAGGAGGATTATGTGTTGAGGGTAGTTTGGGGATTAGAGAGTTTGTTCTGGATGATAGGGGAATTTGAAGGCGAGCGAATATCCCGCTGGCCTCTTTTAATGCTGCCTTAAAATTGAAGCGTCCCAGTTATTAAAGTTAAAACAAATGTAGCATGTGAACTTGGTTAAATATGAGAGTGATTTATTTCGGGGCTCATTATTTCACCCTCTTCAATTTTCCCTCCCAAGATTTATTTTTATCTTGACAGTAAAAGTTTCCTTTATGGAGTCGGTAAATTCTGATCCAATTCAAAACTGAGGGAATTTTTTTGAAATAGACATTTTCAAAATTAAAATTATCAATTTCAACCTACTTATAAAATATTTATCAAAATAGATCTAGTTTCAGCCACGTCAGCAAAACTAGATGGATTTTGATAAGAAAATACTTCCGGACTCTATGGTATTAGCATTTTGGTGGGGCTTTCAACACAGAGGGATGGACAAAAAGTGATAGAAAAGGTGGATATGTCATCAATTTTTTAATTAATATTTCTTTATACTAATTTGTTTGATTATCAGAATAGAAGCAATCTGCAAAAAGAAATTTGTTTTTTTCCGGAATCAAGGGCCAGGCAGCAGCCAGTATTCTGTCCCAAATAACTGGCATATAGTGTTCGTGTAAAGATTGTTTCCATGTGTGCAAAGTACATGCTTTATGCATAAAGTTGATTTGAGTTCCAGTAAGAAAATCTAACTGTTTATAAAAATTGATTTCAGCAGTAGTTATTAGATTGGCCAAGAATTTGTTGAAGCATTGACTGCAGCGTTTTTTTTTTACTTCTTTTAAGGCATGCAGTGAATGCAGCTTATAATTGGACAACAGTAGGCGTCCAAAATGAAATTCATATAGACATTTCTCCATAGAAAGTCGCATAGGAAGGGAAACAAGATCCAGTGTCGGCACGAATTTTGAAATTATTTTGTGTGTGTACATATATATAGACTCATAAAATATTATGTTTGCACTCATTCTTTGACTGTTTACATACACTATTTTTGGTTGATGATCACTACAATAAAAGTTATAAATTATAATATATTTTTTTATCTCAATACAATATATTTTTGTATCACACAAATAGAGCACAACACGTACCAAAAGTGTGGTTAAATCATATGTGGAGAGGATCCTTCTAACTCATGATATATACATGTGTGTGTGTCAAGAGTGGTGACACATAGTTATTGTGTTTAGACCATAAAAACATAAAGGGTATCATCATTCAACACTAGAACTTCCTAGAAAGTCACATATCCTAGGATTATTCTCATCAAAGCACATTCCACTATGGAGTGTTTTAGTTTATATACTACTATCATAATAATCATCATAATTTAAATCTAATATTTACTATTTAAGCCCACTAATTGAAGATCGTGTCACAATCCGTGTTGGACTATTATCTTTTATTAATTATAGTTAATTGCATATCTAATAACATAAATATGTGCCATGATTTGCTACAGTCTTTATTTGTATCACTATTATTAATTTTTTGTAAATAAAATAATATTTTTATATGTATCATAAAATAAGTACGGATACATATAATTTTTGTTATAGTGCACTGACCTTGTGCATTTTTCGTATTGGCTTAAGTTTGAATGTGAACAATGTTTTTACACGCCACATTCCCCAACTCTACATGATTTTCTTGGCAGAGTTCGCTGTACACCTTTTTTCTTCTTATTCCAGAGCATATCTTTTGATCATAATTGGCCTTCATGTATCTTTGTGTATTCTGGCTTTTATATTTAAAGCTAGTTATGTGTCTCTTTGCAGTAGGCCGAGTTGAGTCATTTTGTCTCGTTTTGGGCCGAAGCCATCTCATGTCTCGTTTTGGGCCGAAGCCGTCTCATCTGTTCGAACTGAATTTGTAGAAACGTAAACAACCTCTCCGGCTCTCCCCCAAGAGTAATGAGATTGGAAGACGAAGACGAAGAAGCGTTATATTACTGAGATGAATTAATATTACTCTAAGCATAGATATTTTGTAAAGGAGATAATAACATGCATCTTGCCAATGACCATCAATACAATTTCCCAAATGCATGAAAAATTCTTAGGTGCTTAATGAGCACCTTCGATTCTCATTATCAAATAAGAGAGAGAGAGAGAGAGAGAGAGAGAGGAAAAAATAGCTCCTTCTCATTCTCGAGTAGTTCGTGCCATATGAAAAACACTTAGATGCTCAACATATGGGGAAGTATTTATAGCCTACTTCACATATAAACTTGGTGCGCCCCTTAGCTCAAAGACAGGTCGGGCTTGGGTCTCTCACGAATTTGACGGGGGTTTATCTCGGTTCAGAACTATATTGGGTTAGATCAAATTGGATAACTTCATCTGTTTTAATAGTATTCAATAATTTAATTTCATGCTAGCTAGTTGCATTAAAGAAACAACTCTAACTGAAGAGTGTGACTTCACAAACTAGCTTCGTAATGATTCTTAATTAGTTGGCTCTGTTATGCAACTATCAAATTGTATCCCACATGATTTTGAAAAATAATTGCATAACTTAATCAATTAGTAGTTGTTACGACTCGGTCTCAGATTAATCCAAGGCACACTTGTGACTAGTAGCAGATCGAGAAAATTTTTCTTAAAGGGCAAAAGGGCGGACAACAAGTATTTAAATACTTAAACATAATAATATAATATTATAAAACTTATGGATCTTTGGAATTGGGAATAGTGAGAGGGCGGGGGCGGGAGGGGGTTTGGGGGAGAGTTTTGACCTTTTGAGTCTTAGTTTTAGTTTTGAGCTTTTGGGCTGGGAAGTGTAGAGAGTATGTTTTGGTTAATGAGTTTTGGCCACTTGTTGCTGTTGTTGTTTGTTTTTTTTTTACTTTAGGGGTGGGTGCAAATTTTTAATTTTTAAGGGGGTAAAATGTAAATATAAGAAACTTTAATTGGTAATTTGCAAATCTCATGGGCACCCCTAGAGATATCTACAGATCCGCTCCTGGTTGTGACTGCCTCAGATAGTGATTGTTCGCTAAGAGAAAATTGATATTTTTTTAATCAGAGTATTGCACTAATCCAAAAACTGACCTTAGATGCATCATTAACATATTGGGCATATGATTACTAAATATTTTCTCCGCACGCTGTTTTAAAGCCATGCGGTCTCAACAGCAATCATGCTTATTCCTCACAAATTAAATACCAAAAATGGAATGCAATCTTAATAGCAGGTTACTGTGATAAATGATCCAAATATAAGATAAATTGCAATCTTAATAGCAGGTTACTCCTCTAAATTTTGCTTACTCAACCTGACTGCTCACACTTTACGGTGTTTCACTTAACTTTCTGAACTTTGAATTGACTTTATTGTTTGTTAATGATGGAATGACTAAAATATCCTTTTTAATATATAACCCCTAATTTTTTTTCTTTTTTATTTAAGACAAGAAAAGCTATTACACATGTGATAATGACAAGCGGGCAACAAGCTGCGCCGCTAATCCTTTCTGAATTGCAAAACCTAGCCTACGAAACACATACTCAGCGGACCCTGTTGTCGCCATATTCTTATTCATGAATTTCTGTACCCTCCTGAGGAACTCCACCGCATCAGCTGTAAGGAAACCAAACGTATCGAAAGCGAACAAGATGAAGCTGTGGTGGTTGTCCTTGCAAGCTTAATCATGTTTGTCCACCTTTGCCTCTGCTGCTCTATCCGCTGCATGCCCAACCTTGAACTCTCCA